TTTCACAAATCGTTAAAAAGCTATTGCTCCAGTTAAAGAAAGAATTGATGAACTAGAAATTCAATTAAATAAATTACAAATTGCTTTTGATGATCTATCAACCTATAAACAAATCTTCGCTTTTATGACATTACAGAAAATATTGGAGAAGATACCAATCAATTAATAATTGATACATGCGCCAAAATTGATATTGCTATTAATAATGAAGATATTAGTGTCAGTCATCGTATTGGTAAAGTAAACAATTCTATGGATCAACGTCCACGTGCTATTATTGTGCGATTCTTGCGTTATGGTGCATACTTCGGAATAAGAAAAGACTAGAGCGTGGTATCTCTATCAATGAAGATTTAACAAAGTTAAATTTATCAATTTTCAAATATGCACGCTCGAAATGTGTAGAAAAAAAATGTGTTTATACGTCAAATGGTAAAGTCATGTATAATGACGGTAAAAACGTTTTGAGTTATATTCAATTCAACATGCTAAAGGTTTAACTGCTGATGGAAGGGATTGACAACAATGATCACACAAAATAAGCTAACTAGACTTAGTTTTATTTCTTTTTCTTTTCTGACTGGTAAGAGTAGAGAGAAGTCGAATGTGAATAGTTATTTGCCTTGTCCCTGTGACATTTTGTTCCGTGATGCTGGTTAATAGTAAGAATACTATACATCAGGGTGATGATATGCGAGTCCTCTTCCTCAACTGTAATAGCATTCTGGCGAAAGTTGATTTAGAAGATGCTAGATTTGAAACCTGTTTCTAAAGCTTACACATACCGTCATCGAAATCTTGTCTCTTAGCCCTTTACTATCGATCGCAGGATCTTGCACCTATGCCCTTGTTTGTGGAACATCTAAGTGACACCCTGCAAAAACTTCGAATGAACACAGATATAAGGGATGGTTCTGTTATATTAATCGATGATTTTAATGGCTATTCAGCTAAATGGTGCCCAACGAAACCGTCAACACCTGAGGGCAACCAGTTATTTGACTTTTCCATAAAGGAGGGATTCTCTCAGTTAGTATCAAAATCCACCAGATCTAAGTCTAACTTCTGTCTAGATCTGATATTCAGCAATAATCTCGGCTCAGTTACTAACGTCAACGTTTTGTCTCCTTTAACTACTTCCTGCGACCACTATATGGTTGAATTCTCACTTCTTCAAATAAAACGAATGCCTTTTTCTTATAAACGTCGCACATATGACTACAAGCACAGTAACTGGGATGGATTTCGACTAGCACTTTCAGGAACGAACCTAATAGGTTTCTTGTCAGATATAAAGAAAAACATATATCAAATTATCACATGAGAATAATTTTCTCTTTATTTTCTTTTCGGTCTTAGCACTTCTCAGCAAATTTGTTATGTGACTAAATAAATAAATAAATAAATAAATATATAATTGAACTATTTCATTTTAGATTATGATAAAACGCCGTATGAAGAATGTAGAATGGAAAATATAAGCACATCCCAAGACGTGAAAAGATAGAAAAAGAAAGGAAACTACAGAGTACTTCGGCTTGCGTACTCAGACTTGCTCAACGTTTCAGATGTTCTTTCCGTTCGAATGATTATTCTCTTTAAGTAAAAGAACGCCCTTTTGTAACTATTTTGCGTAGCGTTTATCTTTTTCTTTTATAGTGCCGAAGTAAAAAAAAATCTTTTCATTTTTTACTTTGCTCTAAATTAAAGTTGTTTGTTTTCTTTATAAATGCATTAGCATTTTAATAAAAGCCAACTGAGCTTTTGTTTACATCGTTCGACGATCAGCTCGGTCTGAAAACCTGACTCAACTATGTAGCTTTACTACAGCTGAATCAGACTTCACTAAAATGTCTCTTCTGATTTGGAGATGAAAACTCTGATCAGCTCATTCAGCTCTGAATCTGGTGATGAGATCAGAATCGAATTTCCTGAAAAAGACAATTTCCAAAATTTCCGAGCTGATTCCGCTCAGATTTTTCAGCTCTGAATTAATATTTATAATTAGAAGGAAAAGCTTCATTTAATTTTACATGAAGCTTTTATATTTGTTATTTAAAATAACAAATATTTCTAAACTCTGAGAAAAATTTAGACTAGTACAAGTGTAGTTAGATTACTTACAAGATCGCAAATATTTGAGAATAGTGTTACTATGAACAGGCGGCTGTGACTGGTTTTATCATGCGCACTCTCGAAGTTCAGCATTATGTGTACCTGAGCCAGCGGTGGAAGCACTGATAAGAATTTTGAATCAGTAAGGAGCAAAAGAGAAGAAAAAAACTTTTTGTGTGAAGTAATTTCCAGTTTTTTATGAGCTAATGCAAAGTCTGATTCAGCCCGGATAAAACTGCATAGCTGATTCAGCTTTTCAGACCGAGCTGATCATCGACCAGTATAGCAGATATTTTGGAATATACAGAAAAATCGACGAAGAAATGGTCGATTTTGCAAGAAAACATTTGTGTAGTGACAAATGACCAAGACAAAGTAATTTTGAAAGAAATGATATGCGGCAGATGTGTCCTTTTTTCTATAGTATCTAAAGGATATGATTCTCTTCCTCACAACTATCAAAGGAGGTATGCTAAGGCCAGTGATGATGTATAGGCGTTTTGGCGTTCTTTGGCTGAAAAACAACATTTCTGCTTTTGTCGACTTTTTTATCGTATTTTCTAGAATAATTTCTGGTTTGTTTACGCGTTTGAGTGGAGGTACATCTCGCGAAGCTAACAGTAAAAAAGATTATTTAATTTTAATCAAAAACTAGCTGAGTTATGAATCATAGATAGAACTACAGTTATCCATACACTCCGAACAGAGATCACAGATATTCACGTGTTTAATCTGAATCTAACAACATCTAACGACATTTGCCAAGAAGTGAAACGATAGAGATATTCCTTATTTGACACGGCTCTGTTATGAGTTAGTTCACCTTTTCGTATTATGTTCCAGAAGAGCAAACTGGGTAAAACACGGTGCAATAAGTACATAATTACAGTTCTGCAAAACTGTAAAGGCCGTTGTGAATACGTTCTTAGAAGAGGTGAAGAACAGACAGTAAGCTTTTCGCTTTGAGTGCAACTAAAATCAGATGTTCGTACAGAGAACTCAGTTCTCAGCAATCAGATCAGAACAATTTTTTACCTGAAAGTCAAGTGTGCGCATGATGTCATGTCTATTTTTTCAGAAAATCGAAGTACTTATTATTACAGTCTGTTTCAAAATAGAATGTAGCCGGTTGTTTGTTGAATAACTCGGCAACACTGATAGCTATCGAGTTCGGATTTTTACTTTTAGAAAGAGGATGGCTGGGGGCATAAGTCTGTATGAGAATTAAAATAGTTGAAAAGCTTTCTAGAAGGGTTCCCGGAGGGTTTCTGGAAAACTGATGATAGGTTCCTGTAAGTAGATGTATTCTCAGTTTCAATTCAGTCTTATTGTAGCTTACTGTCTATTCTATAAACCCTGAAATTTTCAGATTTTTCTGGTCTTCCTGTGGGAAACAGGACAAAATCTCTTGAATTTTTACCAGTTTTCAAAAAAATCAAATTCGGGAATTTTGACCTGAAATTTTGCCCATAGGTAGATCTACTAGCCTGTAGAATATCCTGCAAGTTCCAGCCAAAAAGAATATTTCGTTCTTAAGATATCGCATTTTCAAGTGAACCCGATTTCTGTGATCTGTCTGAGGCAAACGGGTATTTTTCGAAAATTCAATATTTCGAGAAAGGAACAAGGAAGCTCAGGTCCGTTTATGCATCCAAGATTTCTCTTTCTACCGGTGAAAACCCGAACTCAATAGCTATTAGTGTTGCCGAGTTATTTAACAAACAACCGACTGTATTCTATTTTGAAACGGACAGTAGTAATATTATGATCAAGGGACTATCACATTAACACACACAGTTCTTCTATTTTGTCCGAAGTAAGAATTTGTGTGAAAGTAACAGGACTTCTGGAATCTGATAATGAACGTACTTAGTTTTTGTGACTATGAAAAATTTGAATCTTAATACTGACTTTTATCTTACTATGACTAAAGCGCCCGAATGCGTGTTTTGACTGAAGTTGGGTTCAGTAAAGTATACTATGTTTTTTTCTATTCATTGGCTTCTGTGAACACTTAGGACTAATTTGTTTTGAAACCTGTATGATCCCATATGAATGAAATATTCACAAATACAACGTTACTTTCTCTAAGTAAAGTAAACGTGAACAAATTAGCTTTGGATAGGTTTTGCTTAAATACTTGCTTAATATTCAAGCATATAAAAAAACAATCTATTAACTTCTCCAGAAATACGAACACTAACTAGTGAGAAAATACCAGATATATCTTCTATTAGAAGTACTCTTACTTTGAAGTCTAATAAGAAAAAATATCAACGATGAATTTTGAAAATAAATATACCGTTAAAACCTTTGCTTAATGTAGCATGGTTGTAGACTGGAAATTTCTGATTAAAATGAGACGTCTCCCAGTTCGACATGATCTTTCTTTGCAAAGTTATAGAATTTACAAGAAAAGCCCCAAATGTTCATTGTCACCTCAGAGTTACAAAAATAAGAAGAAATTAATTTAGAGCTGTTCTTGTAAATTCTATAACTTTGCAAAGAAAGATCATGTAGAACTGGGAGGCGTCTCATTTTAATTAGAAATTTCCAGTCTACAATCATGCCATATTAAGAAAAGGTTTTGGTTACTGTTTAAAGTTTCTGAAAAACTGATTTTTCAGAAAACCGGGTCTTCAAGAGTCGAGAACCAAAATCCTTTTAGTCTTTTGCAGCACGGAGATTTCACCTGGAATACCTGAAACTTTCAAAACGTTTTAGGCTAAAGACGATTTTCGTCGATTTCTACTGAAATCAAAAACATTATTATAAATGTCGAATTAATTAAATCAGTCTGGAACAGTGAATTTAGTTTTGTAGTAGTTTACTACAAAGCTAAGTTCACGTGTTCGTACAAAATTGATTTTGTGTTTTTTCGATAGTTTTAGTTTAGAATACTATAATGGAATATTTTCTTCAGTAGACTTTTGTCATGTTTTTATTTTTTCTTGTTCATTTCCTATTCTAAAAATCCAAGTTACAGATGACTCGAACGAGCAGAAAAAAATGAACAAGATAGGCTAGTTTTAGTAGGATATCATATCCTTAAAGAACAGAATAGCAGAGTACCATGAACACTTTTATAAAAGAACGACTCCATATGTCGAATAAAACTGTATTTTGGTCTCCTGAATTTTTTTGGGAAAAGCCTGAAAAATTTTATGCGCCACCTGAAAAACATGGCAGATATTTCGACTTTTTCACTCTCA